GGATTTTATTTTACTCTGCTAGTACTATGTGACCACAGAAATAAAACCATTTCAACCTGCCCATTCCCTAATGACAATTTGAGAGTGGAAGTTTGGGCCATACTTCCCATGTATATCTTGGTGTTTCAATCACTGTCCTCTGAAATGAGGTTAGGACTGGCATGCAAAACTCCTCTTTTCCTAAATACGGACAGAGCTTGGGCTTTGGAATAACAAAGACTGGTGGAATCAATTAGGCAAAATACCTAACCTCCATTGGCAAAGTTTCTTCAACTACAAAATAAAGATAATAATGTGCACCTTCATTTAATCATTCAACATGCATTATTAAGAATATTTTAAGTGTAAGACAATGGAGACATAAAGATATATGTATATGCAAATATAAACACACACAGACTTTAGCGGAAACAAAGCATAGCACTGATAATCACATCCTGGTGCATCTGAACAGACCATGAAAAAAGACCTAAAGATGCTGACATCAGAGGTTACCCAGCTAAATGGTCCAGCTAGACCATCACACTGAGCATGTCAGTGTGACAAGCCCTGCCCACAATCGCAGAGATTCCAATCACTGTGCTAGCTTCCTCTCTCAAAACTGAGCAGACAAGCAAGCATTATGATACTCTGAGAAAAGTCTCTAATAAGAAATATACAGACAAAACCAAAGAGAAACAAATCAACATGGAGGAAAAAGATGGCATGCAGGGAGAATTTTTTAAACGATCAAGTGATATTTTCAAAGGTAAGAGAAGATATTTCAAACAAGATCAAAACCAAGACAATTGTATACGTGTCCGCATATTTGTTGTATATACATACACGTACATTTATTTCTTTATGAAAGAAACATCTAGAAAACAAATAATAAATCTCATAGGTTAGAAGATAAAGGCAAGGGAATCTCCTAAACAGCAAGAGGAACAAAATATGGAAAATGAAGGGCAAGAAAACAGAGGACTAGACTAGAAGGTCCAATACAGGAATGACAGAAATTCCCGAAATACAGAACAGAGAAAATGGGGAGAGGAGATCAATGAGCAACTCAAGTAAATGGGTAGAGTTTCCACATTGAAAAAACTCAGGAAGTACATGCCATGTACCATGAAGTAAACCCAGACTGGGGCACACCGTAATGAAGGTGAAAAACACTGGGGACAAACTGACAATCCCACACGTTTCCAGAGACTGAAAACAGGTCACAAAAAGAAGCCAGAATGAGAATGCTTTTCTACTTCTTTTTTTTAAAAAAAATTTTTTTTTTCAACGTTTATTTATTTTTGGGACAGAGAGAGACAGAGCATGAACAGGGGAGGGGCAGAGAGAGAGGGAGACACAGAATCGGAAACAGGCTCCAGGCTCCGAGCCATCAGCCCAGAGCCCGACGCGGGGCTCGAACTCACGGACCGCGAGATCGTGACCTGGCTGAAGTCGGACGCTTAACCGACTGCGCCACCCAGGCGCCCCAAGAATGCTTTTCTACTTCTTAAGAAGCATTGGAAGCTAGAAAGCAATATTAACAATCCCTTCCAAATTCTGAAGGGAAATAATTTCCAGTCTCTACCAAAACCATCATCAAAAGGTGAGAGTAAATTAAAGAACAATTGAAGGAGTGCAAGACCTCAGATATTTTACCTCCTGCTCAGCCTTTCTAGGAAGCTGCTCCTGGAGATGCTGCACCAAAATGAGAGAGTATACGTGAGAGTCCAAGAGGAAGACATGGGATTCAGGAAACAAAGGAGAGATAATGAATTCTCAGGATAACAATGAAGTGGAGTTCTGGGATGAGGGTTCTGCAGAGGGCACCAGTTCAGAGGCTCTGAGGGGTAATTCAGCACAAAGAAAAAATGAAGAGACAGATGAATCCGAGCAACCTACAAGACGTAGGTGCCTGGTGAGAAGACCGGGGTTGAATCAGTGTGACATTCAGACAAAAACAAGGAACAAAGTCACATAATTATTTGCCCCAGGAAAAGCAGGAAGTTGCATGGGAAAGAAGAAGTTTACTATATGGCTTAACTGTTAGATGCATTTTACAGTCATCGTAATATAAGCATGAAATATTCAGCGAACCAAAATCATGATAGAAGAAATCTACTGTGGGGAGAAAAGGAGGTAAAAGGTATAAATGTGAGCAGAGGATAAGAAGAGGAAAGAGCTGAATTTCTCTTCCGCAATGGGACATCAGTACATAATGCCTGAAAATGAAGAACCAAGAAGTATCAACACGAGCATGTTATTTAGACAAATAATCAGCTACAAAAGATGTGACTGGTGTCCTCTGGGAAAAGGCAAAGAGGGGTTTGGCAGGAGTATGGCAACTGCCGTTTTTGGTAACACCTTGCTGACTGAGTCGTCCCCACCCTGACAACACACTGGAATTGTACTGATACCTGAGACCGGCCCCAAGTCAAGTGATGCAGAGTCACAGGAGCTGGGGCCCAGGTACAAATGGTTTCGAGAAGGACTCGAATGTTTCTGATACACAGAAAGAGTTGTGAGCGACAGTTTTAAACTATATGCAGGAGCTTAATTCTCACAAAAATAAAAAAGTAATATTTAAATGAAGAAGTATGCATGAAATGTTTGTATTTATATGAAAAAACATTAGCAAACATGCTCATGAAACATTCATATATGTGAAACATACACAGTAAAGTTGATCCTCAAGAAACAATGTATCAATCACACAGTTCTTTTTCACTAGAAATATGTTAAATGATAATTTAAGACTCTTCACACATGCTTTGTGGGAAAAGTAAATATCAGACACTTTCACATGTCAACACAGACGACTGCATACTTGATTTAGAGGTACCGAATAGTATTAATTTTTTTTTAATTTTTTTTAACGTTTATTTATTTTTGAGATGGGGGAGACAGCATGAATGGGGGAGGGTCAGAGAGAGAGGGAGACACAGAATCTGAAACAGGCTCCAGGCTCTGAGCTGTCAGCACAGAGCCTGACGTGGGGCTCAAACTCACGGACCGCGAGATCATGACCTGAGCCGAAGTCGGACGCTTATAGTATTAATTTTTAAAAAGAACAAACTGGTCTTTGCCATGCTCTGACTTGCCTAATGCGTATGTAGATAAGTATGTTCTGGACAATTTAATTTTTTAAAGGAGTGACATTGCATGTGCCATCAAGAGCAAATGAATAAACAAGAAAAGCTTTCTATTAGTCCACTGTCATTCTGGGTATCAGAATATTGAAATCTCAAATTAAATCATGATATATAATTAGGGAAATACATTTCCAACTATGCACAATAGTGTTTTTAAAAATCAGCATTCAAGGGGCGCTTGGTGGCTCAGTCGATTAAGTGTCCGACTTTGGCTCAGGTGATCATCTCATGGTTCCTGAGTTCAAGCCCCACATTGGGCTCTGTGCTGACAGTTCAGAGCCTGGAGCCTATTTAGGATTCTGTGCCTCCCTTTCCCTGTCCCTCCCCCACTCATGATGTCTCTCTCCCTCTCTCTCTCTCTCTCTCTCTCTCTCTCTCTGAAAAATAAATAAGCATTAAAAAAAATAAAATAACAAAAAAATAAAAATCAGCATTCAATACCCATTCTGTACCCAAACAGCACTTTGGAAATAGCAGGCACATACAATGAATGATATTCTTGAGATTATAAAAGGGGGTATCAAATATCCAATCAAATTGAGGGAAATTAATAGATTGCTAAAATACTCTAAACGCATGCTAGATCATATTCAGTAATACACTGGACCTAGTACATCAACATATTGTCACATCATTAAACTGTAGCAAATGATTCCTTGTCATTGACAAGGTCACAGAATGCTTCCTTTGAATTCTGTCAAGGCACAAAACTCTTCTGGTTTTATAGATTTGAATGAGGTAGACAATAAACCTTTTCTTTCCTTCAGCAGCTTCCTATCCCCTCAAAGATTAAAAGCAACAACACACACATGATTCAATAAAGTTGACAGCTAATTTTCCTAAACATCAAGAGTTGTGAAACTTGACAAAATGGGTAGCAGGATATATGCTGAAAAATGTAGGGTGGATTGGATACTCTTGAAATTCAGACACTAACTCTAAAAAGTGAAACTAAACATAAAAATTAGAAAACATATGTTTGGAGTCATCTCTTGGCTAGCAGACATTTTTTCCCTCATTCTCCTAAAATAAGTCTACTAATATTTGCTTCTCTATCTAATTGTACGAACACCCACAACAGAAATAGTTTTAATTGGCAGATCTGTGTTCCTAGCATATTTTTGAACATATTGTTGACTAATGAAATATTCCAACCACATACAAAGGACTCTAAAGATTCTGTTTTCATTTTCTTGTAAATTACTGTAGTTTGAATTCTAATATCCAACTTTAAAGTGTTTCACTATGGACATTCTTTGTACAGTCATTGAAACCCATTGCTTCAAGAGCAAAATATAAAACCAGAAGTTTTTCACTTTAGTTCCCTGTTACGTATTTCAGCATTCAGGGCCATCTTTTTTTACTTAGTGTCACAAATTAAAAAAAAAAAAAAAAAAAAAAAAAAAAAAGTGCGTCTAAAACAATTTATGTTGATATTCAGACTGTGACTATGTAAGATGGAACAGAAATTTCATTTAAACTATAGCAGCTCAGTGTGGAAAAGGAGAAACGTTTGAAAACTAGAAAATAAAACTTTCCTGTATACTCCTACTCCTATAAAAGAAAATTACTCTGGGTTATATAACAAAAATAAACCTCCCACCAGAGATCTTGGAAATCTTGAATTTTTTTTTCCTGCAGGAGGATTTATTATTTTCCACTGAGTGTCCATTCATGCGTTTTCTTCTTGTTTCTATTCATAGCACCAGATCCTGACTAGCATGCACAACCTCAAAAGAAAAGAAAGACTAAATACAAACTGCTAAAATGTAAAAAAATAAAGCAAAATAAAAAGGCACATGTTAAGACTGGTTACCTTGGAGCGGTGCCATAATGTCTAACATGCACAATGGTGTTGATGGAACTCACCTTGTATGCAACGCTGTTGGATGAATCCACGATAATAAACAGTGGCTTCCTTGTGAAAGGATAGAGGTCTCCAGGATGAAGGCTGGGAAAACAAAACAATGGTAACGATGAATAACTATACAACTAAACTGGCCAGGTTTCAGAAATCTTATTCTTCAGTTTGGTCTGCTCACATCTCCTTTTCATCATGGCACTGAGCAAAAAACAAAGATTAACTCAGCAAGAGACAAAACACGTCTCTATTTACTGGGATAGACACGTTAGCAGTTTTATCTAGAAAAATGTTCAGAGATCATTATTATACAGGAATATTCAAGCTAAAGAGAAGTCAACAGATATACAGATGGACAAAACATACAATAGGAAAATCCCACAAGTCAGCATTTAGGTGCTGGGTTAGTATTTAAAAGCTCCTTCTAAGAAAATGTTCTGAAAACAGGATGTACTAACACAACCAGATTTGTATTTCAATGTAATTATTTTAAAGATATTTAATATTTCAAGCTGTATCTTAACATTGCAGTAATAAGCACAGGCTCTCCTTTTACTATTCTTTACGTTTCCTCTGTACCTCTGCATCAGAATCAGATGGGGTGCTTGTTAAATGTATAGATTCATTGGCCCACAGAAGACCTATGGCATCCAAAGGCTGAAGTTCCACAATATGCGTTTGGGAGCCAGTGCATAGGAAAAGATAACAATTTTGTCCATGCTCTCTTATCTGTAGCTTACTGGACAATGGGTGTATGTGTAAAAATATTAATGCAAATGTAAACATAAATATATAAAATGATGTGTCAATGAGTAACATCATCGAACCAATATGTTTCAAATGTAAGTTTTTCTTTGAAATAATACAGGTTTTTAAAAAAAGCTTATTTACTTTGAGGGAGAGAGAAACAGAGAGCTGGGGAGGGACAGAGACAGAGAGAGAGAGAGAGAGAGAGAGAGAGAGAGAGAGAAGGAATTCTAAGCAAGCTCTACACTGTCAGTGTGGAGCCCGATGTGGGACTCGAACTCACGAACCGCTAGATCGCGACTTGAACCGAAATCGAGAGTCGGACACTTAACCGACTAAGTCACCCAGGTGCCCCAAACATAAGTTTTTCTAATATAAATCATCTACAACTAAGGTCAGTGAAAGCACGGACATATGGCTTGGAGGAATCTTAGTTACTATACACATAATTTGAAATATCTCCCTCTCCGTCTTCCCTTTCTCATTAATACGAACAGCTATAACATTTTTGTGTAAAATGCGATTAGAAATGCAGTTTCAGACAAGTCCAGTCTCCTTTGTAACAAGAAATTGCTATCTCTCAGCTAGAAAAATTCTAGAGCCAATAATGGCCCAAGCAGTGAATGTGTAGTTGTACTTAGAAAAAGAGTGAACATTCATAGGTGAAATTTCCTTAAAATCATACACCTAAGTTCATTTATACTATATCTAAACAACAGACTCTTATATTAAAAAAGCTTCTTGCATGGATGTTAACATGTATCATGTCTTGACATATTATTTATGTATACACGTAAAATCTCCTCGAACTTGAATGTTAATTTTGTTCGCTGACATATCCCCATGACTGAATAGTGCCTGACATATAATACTTAATGAAAAATTTAAAAACAAAGAACAGCCAAAAATTCTAATTTCCTAGGATAGTCAGAGCCTGAAATATTGCTAGAACCCAAATACGTGTTATACTGAGGGAATATTTCTAGTACTAAAAAAAGTCCCCATTCACTTAATGTTTTCTACAACAGACGTTTACTTTCATAATAAGGAGAGACACCAGAATACATACCAGTGCATCTCCTTGTGGGACTGATTTCGTTTGTGGATGGCATCTCCATTTATAATATCCCGGTTACTATTAGTAAGTACTCCGCCAAAATCATAAGGACCTATAAAAACAAGGGAAGAATCCTAGACTTCAGCTGGAGAATAACATTGATCTGATGCTCAAAATTCAAAGGTCTTGTGTGAATCTCTGATTGATACAAGTGGAAGATAATCACAAAACATTTTAAACATTTTAAAATTTAACATCCTAGTTTAATGCAATATTTAAGTGATTTCAGCATGTTGCCTGTTTCAACATTTAAAAAAATCATTTAATTATTTGTCAGTTCTTCAAACAGAAGATAATGAGAAACAAAATAAGAATCTACTGCACCCCCTCATTCTGGGTAGTAAAAAGGATGGAGGGCTGGGATGTTCAAAATGATCTTTACATTTCAAGCAAAATCAAAATCTCACATTCAACCAAATTATCTAAGTGAGAAAGTTGCAGAAAGAAGACCTAATAATTTCTTAAATGTAATTTTAAGTGAGCCACCAATTATAAAATTTAGGGAAAAACTTTGAGTGGGACTTGAAAATTCTCATTGATAAACACTTCATTTTTAGAAAAGGAATGCCAAATTTCTGTGTGTGAAAAAATCTGTTATTATCACTATTATGTCAGCCACTGTACTTTCGGTTTTAAAGTTAGCCTTTCCTACTGATCACATTGGTTAGTTGAACTCTTGTCTAAGTGGAACAGCTATGGGATGTTAGGAATCATCTCTCCCAAAGGACCATTTAGTTAGTACCTCTTGTACTTTAAAAAAAGGAAAAGAAGAGGTCAATATGTTAAATGGGAGCTCAGAAAACCTGATTCAACAGTTTATGTCATAAAACATGGAAAAAGGGGCACTGTGGTGGTTCAGTCGGTTAAGTGTCCGACTCTTGGTTTCAGCTCAGGTCATGATCTCATAGTTTGTGAGCTCAAGCCCCACGATGGGCTCTGTGTTGAGAGCGCAGAGCTTGCCTGCGATTCTCTCTCCTCTCCTCTCTCTGCTGCTCCCCTGCTCGCTCACTCTCTCTCTCAAAATAAATAAATAAACTTAAAAAAATTACAAAATTTCCATTTATTTAAAAATAAAATTACTAGCTTTATTATAAAAAACTTCAAAGTAGTTTATGATTGTGTGTAACTTTTAATGTTGTATTATATTTTGCCCCTTAAAAATCACTTCAATGAAAAGACATTGAGATTTATTTTGTTTTGTTTTCATTTTAACACTTTAAGAGGACCTGTACGTCATGCAAGGAAGATGGCAGGGACATGCATTGTATAAAGGAATGCAAATTTCAACAAACAGATGAAGAGGAAAATGTTAAGGATGTTAAGAAAAAAAAATTTTTTTTTGTCCAGACAAAGATCTAATTGCCTAATTTACATTCAAGTTACTCATCTATTCTGACCAATTTCATGTATTCTGGACTCATATATTCTGAATAGTTTTAAAAAGTTTTCATTCTGAAATAGCATCCCAATATTCTTCAGGTTGAATCCATAAAACGAAATAAAGGACAGAAACAAAATCATGACAAGGACTTGAACTTTCACAGTTACAGCAATGCACTGATTTCTACAAAGACTTTCAGCCACAATGAAGCCGCTGACCAGATTCTCTGACACATTAACGGCCCAGAAAAATTCAATGATGTGAAGTAGAAAATTAGGCTCAGTTATTCCATACGTATACAAATATATATGTGCCTTTGGCAAATTTGATAATGAGGCATGCATTTAGTATATGAATTGCTGATGATTCGTGGACTTCAAAGTATAATATTTCAGCAAATAAAATAGACTGGGGTATCTACAAGATTGTCAATTCAACAAAGAGACCAGGCTTTAAATCTGGAAGCCTCTCTGGAAAGCTTGGGATGGTCTGTGGGCTATGGGCCATCATCTTGTAGAAAATAAAGAGAATTCAAGCCCTGCTCACGACAGGGAGCATTCCTTTATTGTACCTTCACTATCAGAACGACCTGTGGGGAAAACGCCAGTGGCTGACAGGTAAATCAGAAGTACACTATTGGCAGGCAGCTCCTGAAATTAAAGAAAATCACATATACAAAACAAAAAACAGTTTTATTCAAAGTTCCTGACATTTTAAAGTTGCAGGGACAAGAACCTAATGTAAGCTATCACTGTCTTCTCCAAGAGGACAGTCACTCTTGCTGGTTTCAACTCATAACCGTTTATACAACAAAGAGTCAATATGAATCAATAATCTATAACTATTGCCCAAAGTTTTGAAGACATTTTGTGCCTTAAAAATTTCATCATTTAGAGAATGTTCTTGGCAAACCTTGAAATGGTGAAGTAAAGATCCTGACTATGGGTCTACAAGATAAACTCCTGCCCATGGCTTCCTCTACATAAACTTTGGGAGGAATTCACTACTTCTCATGGTTCTTTCAGATGACCACAGGGCTTCCCAGAGCTGCCTAAATACATAACATGCCTGTGCAATCTGACTGTTATATCTACAGTAGGTTAGTAATAAAAACCTGGAGAAAGAAGAATGATAATTAATGAATACTCTCGTTAATTAATGGTAAGGAACATTCATAACAACATAAGCAATTTCCATTCCTAAAATAGTTGTGATTAGGTATACTGAATGCAGATTTCATTTTCATATTTTACCTACATTCTTGACTCAAATATTCAAAGAAAAGAGTGACTCTCAGATTCTATTTAGGGCACACTTCCCCCCATACAATAAAAAGTATTGGATCATATATACCTTAAAAGATGCTGCTAAGAACGTGTAGAGTTGGCTGAAGGTTGGTTTGTAGAGCAGATACTTGTGGGGGTTTTCTCGTCTGGTAGGTTTATCAGCTGATTCCTATATTCACACACAGAAAACAAGACACATACAGGCTGATTTTGACAGATGAATTATCAATGCCTATTTTTACTATACTCTTCATCAAATATCTTTTTATTACTCCATGTTACTGTTATTGTGCTTATCTCTCCTGTGCCTCATCGAGAGAGTTCTTTATTCGCATGCATGGCATTTGTTGAATAACAGCATTCCATGAGGAGCAGAAGCAATGATGGTGTTACCAAAATTGCAAATGTGGAGAGAAGATCACCTGCATTCCTGGTTTATTCATCTGGGAAGCTAAATTCATTGGCTCCCTTTCCAGGGCTTGTAACATCCGGAACATGTCGACAGTCAGCTCACTAAACTTAACCTGCATGCAAAACAAACTTACCATTAATACAGTATACAGACCTAGAAGTCTCTGATCATAATATTATTCCTGACATTCATTGTACTTAATGACACTGGGTAATTTATTCCCCAGTGTTTTATTATAAAAAATTTCAAAAGACAGAAAATTAAAAGAATTATATACATTGTATCATCTAAATTCTATACCATTAAAATTTTTTGTATTTGCTTTATCATATATCTTTCAATTTATTTATATCTTTATCCATCAATTTCCTCGGGTATTTTTAAAAACATAAAAAGTAGTCATGTAAACAACAAGACCTATATTAGCATCCTTAAAAAAACATGCTAAAAAAACAAAAACAAAAACAACTTTTTTTGGCAAGGCAGTCTGCTGAAATATGGCTATGGCCCGTATTTCATAACCTCTTCAGTACATTTTGGCCTTATACAATGTTTAAGACCGCATCCTTTTCTGTTCTGAATAATACTTATATAGAACTTCAGGTAGGCAATGTTTTTTATTATTATTATTATTAATCATGATTTATGCTTTAATCCCCATCATCTATTTCACCCTTCTCCCTACCCACCTCCCCTCTGGTAACCATCAGTTTCTTCTCTATAGTTAAGTGTCTTTTTTTTGGTTTGTCTCTCTCTCTTTTTTCCCTTTTATCATTTGTTTCGTTTCTTAAATTCCATATAAGAGTGAAATCAAATGGTATTTGTCTTTCCTTGACTTCCTTACTTCACTTAGCATTACACTCTCTAGCTCCATTCATGTTGTTGCAAATGGCAAGATTTCATTCTGTTTTAGGGGTGAAGAAAATTCCATTGTATATATATAGCACCTCTTTTTTATACATTTATCTACTGATCAACACTTGGGCTGCTTCCACGGTGTGGCTATTGTAAATAAGGCTGCAAAAAATATAAGGGTGCATGTATCCCTTTGAAAATATGTTTTTGTATTCTTTGGGTAAATACCCAGTAATGCAATTACTGGATCATAGTGTAGTTCTATTTTGTAATTTTGTGAGGAACCTCCATACTGTTTTTCAAAGCAGCTGTACCAGTTTGCATTCCCAACAACAGTGCAAGAGGCTTCCTTTTTTTTCCACATCCTTACCAACACTTGTGTCTTATGCTTTTGATTTTAGCCATTTTGATAGGTGTGAGGTGATATCTCATTGTAGTTTTGATTTGCATTTCCCTGATGATGAGTGATGTTGAGAATCTTTTCATGTGTCTGTTGGCCATCTGTATGTCTTTGGAGAAATGTCTGTTCTGTCTTCTGCCCATAGGCAGGCAATGTTTTAATTTAAATTAAATTTGCAAACCAATGGCTTTTAACAGCTAAAACTGGAGAAGTACTAGAAAAAGTTAACAGTAACAAAAATGAAAAGTGTAAGAGAAGGATACAAAATTAAAACTTGTGTAAATAATGCATACAGAAAAATGTATTCATTCAAAGCGCCTGGGTGGTTTAGTCGGTTAAGCGTCTGACTTTGGCTCAGGTGATGATCTCACGGTTCGTGAGTTCGAGCCCCGCATTGGGCTCTGTGCTGACAGCTCAGAGCCTGGAGCCTGCTTCAGATTCTGTGTCTCCCCTCTCTCACTCTACATCTCCCACACTCATGCTCTGTCTCTCAAGAACGAATAAACATTAAAAAAAAAAAATTAAAAAAAAAAAGAAAAATGTATTCACTTGACACTTTTCTGATATCCCATAATTTCCAGTAAATTTACATTTCTATTACATGTACATTTACATGTAATTTACATTTCTATTACATGTAAATTTACATTAAATCCTCATCATCATGGAACTATTCTGTCACCAAAAAAATCTGAAATTTGCTATGACAAATATGCTTAGAAATAATTCCTTTTTTTTTGCCTGACCGTAAAAGTAATATACAGATTTAGAAAGTTGTAAAGAAGAAAATAAAAATTACTTATAATTCTGCTATTCAGAGATAAACCTTTTATGATAGTGGTAAATTTCTTCCTAGTCCTTTTGCCTGTGCATATATGCATACAGACATTTTAACAGATATGAAATAATTCTGTTTGCATATCTCCATACCAAGTTTACTTTTACTTACTATATCATGACTGTATCTTCCTCTGTGATTACAAATTCTTTCTAAACCTTTAAATGCCTGTAATACAGCCCATATGTGGACACTGTGTTATTTAATCAAACATTTCCTCACAAATGGATTTAGGATATTTACAAGGAAACAGTAATTACGTGATGTTAATCTGTAATTCTGTAATAATAAGCACTATTTTTTAAATTGAATTTTAAGCACAATTCCTTCCCAATTCTTTACCTGGTTATTACAATTACCAATAATGAGCGCATCAGCCAGAGACAACTGTCCCACAATCATGCCCTGTTCCAGCAATGGTGCTCCTGTCTCCGCAAGGCGATTAGATGTGATAACAATGGTATTATCATCATTCAATACCATTACGGGGTCCGCCTGGAGAAAAAAAGGAGTAGTTGATGGCCAAGGCAAAACGTCAACATGATAAATTATTCCTTCTTATTGACATATACACACAATAAAAACATATGCCACATAGGTATTTACTTCTCCATAATTATGACAATCTCTCTTGTCAAAAACTGACCTCAATGAAAGCTGCTACTTCTTGAAGCACCAAGTTCCATTCCACTTGATCTTCCGTATTAAAGCGGTGAGTATAATCTTCAATTTCATCTGACAATTCCTGATTTTAAATTTTTCACAAAGAAAAACAGTTATGGGGAAAATACACATACAAATAGATTGCTATATTGTACCATATTCTTGACAGAAATTGATATAGTTAAGCCTGATTATTATAAAAAAAGAAGCTTGATTATTATCAATATATGGTCCCAATTATAGCCCAAAATGAAGAAAACTACTTTATTTTGCTTTAAAATAAAAGACTCCAGAATGATACACATCAACAAGATCTTCATAAAGATCCAGAGCAACTCATATCTACTCAATTCTACATCAGCAATTAATTTATTGAAGGTAAAACCCCAAGCTTTTAATGCTTAAAAACAAAGACTGTCTAGATGATTTTCTTTGGATTCATATCATACTGTGTTTTGGAAACAGTCTTATTAGTAACTAGAGGTGGAGGAAGACAGAGAAGGACTTGTCGAAACTAACATGTGATACTTGAGTACCAAAATTTAAGAGGTATCTTGTGGAAACAGCTGGCTGACTGCAGAGTGCAACCGGAACGGGGTGTGAATAATTAGAGACATTAAGTGAACCCACCTCTAATTTACCTAAGGTAACAAAGGACAGCGATGCAGACACAGTAAAAGGATGGAAAAACCCAAACTCATTTGCAATACCTTTGTAAAACATTAAATGTTTATTCTTGACCCAACCTTTCAATTATTTCCTCTTAAACCGGTTATTTTAACTTTTGTTTGCATTTTGCAACCATCCATTGATGTGTGGTGAGATGTAAAACACGCTTACGGGACAAAAACAAAGAATTAAGAGAACTGTCTCTCGCTAGTGTGTATCTGAAATATGAAGAGGGCAGGAATATTCTTTTAGACTACCCTTGTCCGAAGTTACCACACTTTTGAATGTTTTAGATATAGATATACTAAATTTAGATATGCTAAAATTATTTTTATCTTAAATCTATTTTTAAAAAAGCAAAATTATCCATACACAATTACAGAGTAGGACTTTAATAATTTTATTTATTTATTTTTAAAATAATGATTTCTTTTTATTTTATTTTGAGTGAGAGAAACAGAGTATACATGGGAAGTGCACATGAGCACGTGTGCACACACACGTGGGGGAGGGGTAGAGAGATAGACAATCCCAAGGAGGCACCACATTGTCAGTAAAGAACCTGATGTAGGGCTTGAACTCCCAAACTGTGAGATCATGACCTGAGCCGAAATCAAGAGTCAGATGCTTAAATGACTGAGCCACCCAGGCACCCCAGGATTTTAATAATTTTAAAGTACATTTACCTTCACCAAATCCTTCACAACATCCATTTTGTTGAGAAGAAGACAAACTACAATAAATCTTGCATAGTATCGAAGCTTCTTAACGACCAACTCAGGTCTACGGCAGATAAATGGGAAATTACTCATTAGATTAAAAAAGAAAACATGCTCTTTGATTTTTCCAACTTTCTGACAGCTTTTAAACTTTTTTAGATCCTATTTTGCACAGTAACAAACATTTCTGCATATAGCCTACAGCTGCATTTAGCACATTTCTTACTCACAGATTCATTATGTTCATTCACAAATTCATTCATTGAACAAATACCCACTGAGAACTTAGATGCATCAAGCACCCTGGTTAAATGCTAGAGAAATGATTAAGACAAACAAATATAGACACAGACTCTTCTTCATAGATCTCAGAGACAGGAAACTACCTAAAATGTACTGGAGACAGACAGACACTTAAAACACAGTGGAATAAGTACACTGAGAGGAGAAAGGATGCTATTTGAGCTCACAGAGAAGGCTTCCTAAAGAGAGCGATGTTTAAGGTGAGATGATAAAGAGTAGAAGACAACAGGCAGGAAAATACGAGGTGAAAAGAGTTCCAGGACAAACATTCTTTGTTTTGGAAACTTACTTTCTGATATTAATACAATCAAGCCAGTTTTCCTAAGCTTACTGTCTGTATACCCTGTCTTTTTCTATTCCTTTACTTTCAAGTTCCTGTGACTTTTCACTTTGACCCATTTTCTCTTAATGTTTATTTATTTACTTTTGAGAGACAGAGAGAGACAGAGTGTGAGCAGGGGAGGGGCAGAGAGAGGGAGACAGAATCCAAAGCAGGCTCCAGGCTCTAGGCTGTCAGTACAGAGCCTGATGTGGGGCTCGAACTCACAAACTGTGAGATGATGACCTTAGTTGAAACCAAGAGTCAAATGCTTAACTGACTGAGCCACCCAGATGCCCTGACCCATTTTTTGCAGACAATGTAGAGTTAGCTTTTTAATCCACTTTGACAGTGTCTGCCTCATAGACTCGGGTACTTGGACCATTTACATTTTATCTTACTGTTGCTTTGGCTAAGGGTTTGCATCTCTTACAGTGCTTTATGTTTTGTTTTGTTTTGTTTTGTTTACAGAAAGAGAGCACAAGTGGGGGAGAGGGGCAAAGAGAAACAGAGAGAGAGAGAGAGAGAGAGAGAGAGAGAGAGAGAGAGAGAGGCTTAAGCACGCTGCCGGCTGAGCATGGAGGCTGGGGGCTAGATCCCACGACGCTGGGATCATGACCTGAGTCAAAAGTAAGTCAGATGCTAAACCAACTAAGCCACCCAAGTGCCTCTGTGCTGTTTTCTTTCTTTCTT